AAATAAAGTGAATGTAACCATGTAAGCCTTTATATTATGTGCAAAAAAGGGTTAAAATCACATTTCATTCTAACATTGTAACATTGCAATCTAAAAACAAAAATAAGGCTTTTAAATCAGAAGTTAAATTCACTAAACTAAAAATGAAAATAAATGAGAAGAAGCACAGAGTTGTGTTAGGCTATTTTGATTACCCCATTACAGTCACTTTACAGTCAGTGCTATCATAAAAATAGACTTACTTGTAGGTTTAAAATTCTACATGTCACATTTATTGTCCAACTACAAATATTTCAGCGAAATGTATATTTTAGTCAGAATTATTGCGCTGATATTTAATTGGGCTCCGTCTGTTTGGCACGAATGCGCGCGGCGGCGCTCGTTCACTGAAGTCTGTGAAGTTTAGCGGAGAATCCCAAAGCAGAAAGCTCATGCACTTCTGATAGAAAAATGGAAATATTTCCATGGCTTTCTAACATTTACAGACGGAAAATATACCTGTGAAATATAAGTTATGCATTCAAGAAGACAGCACATCTCAAACACATTAAACAGCGCGAGTAGCCTACTGTCAGCGGCACACGCAGCCTTTCTGTCAGAGCATATGACGGGCCGAGCCGTTTAAACTAATATGCGAAACCAAACTATAAACTATGTCTTACCAGTTTTTAAAGGCCTTAATATGAAGCTTGTCACATGTTTAGAACAAATTGGATTATGCACTTTCTCCGCAGCAGCTCAGTCTGTATCCTCTGCTATATTTTCAGATGCGCTCGTATCAAACTACTGTATATCGATATAAACGGTATTGCCTCATATTGAATCGCTTACAAAGAAAATATCGATATATCATACCAACTCGATATACCGCCCAGCCCTAACTGCAGCCATCACATACTGTACTGAACTCGATAGAAGACAGTTTGCTCTATGGCAAGAGATCATTGAGACTGCATTTAAACACTCAACAATTGACTGTATGATGTGCATTTCTGGGTGTGTGCATGCGGACTTTGTTTTCCACATTTGTGCTGCATTTCTGATACAGTGGCAGGAATATAGCTAGGTGGACATCACTGAAACGGCATGCACAGTCATGGTTTGAATATACTTAAAATTGAGCATTTAATAAACCAAGTGCAGCTAGCACACTGCTGGAATGTCTGTAACGAGGCCATGAAATCCCTCTCCACCAGCCATAACTCTTAAGTGTGCAGGTGGAGCACTTGGCAAGGGAGGGCAGGCAACAGATACAAATATGCAACAATCACACTGGTGCAGAGAGGAAAAAGATAAACAGCTGACAAAATGTCTGTGAACATAACTTGTGATCATGTTTTTGGCAATGCCAGGCAGTTTTACTCAAATACAGAACCTAGAGCATCAGGAATGATGAGAAAGAGAGTGGGTGGGATGAAGGAAGGACAATAATGAGGAATGGAGGGAAGGGAAGGAGGCAGACAGTGAGAGATGGTCTGGGCAGTACTGATTAGGCTCCTGGGAGAGGTTCAGGAAGGATTTGGTATTTTCTATGCACAGCTGAAAAAGTCACACGAGAGATAGTAGTGTAGAAATAGAAGTGCAAAACACACAAACACCTATACCCCCAATTCACACCCAAGCCTCGTCAAAGTTGTCAGCTTTAAACTCTACCCTTTTATTCTACAAAAGCCATATAAAAGAGCTTTAGGAAGACAACGAGAAAAGAATCTGACCTGAGTGGAGGGTTGAGCCGGTATCTCTTGGGGGGAGATGGGACTCTCAAGCACGGAAGAATCAAGCACATCAGAGGAACTCCCCCAATCAGTCTGAACAGCACCTCCCGTCTCGGGCGAGGTGAGAGGCACATCGCTAGCATAACCTGAAGACTGAAGGTCTTGTGGTGGGGGGCCAAAACCTTCAGCTACTTGAGCAGAGTTGTCAAATAGGAACTCTTCCCCTTTTTTTTCCCGAGCTGCAGCTGTTGCTGGTTTGGCAGAGTCGTTCTTTCCGGGTGGTCGCACTTGAGTTGTGGACACTTGTATTTTCGTAATGCCTCCAGTAACAGGAGATGCAGCTGGAGGTCCAGAATGGACCTCAAGTTCTTTGTCACGCCAGACGGGCGACCCATAGTCCCTTGGATAGACAGTTCGGACCACACAAAGTTGCCCTTCAAACTCACGAATGTGAACAACTCCCTTCTTCTCAGTTTCTGAGGGCTCACTGAACATCAGTTCACTCTGCCCATGCACATCCCCTCCTTCCTTCTCTACTTCCAGGTCACCACGTTTGGAGCGTAAAAGACAGGGTCTCTCTAACACCCCCTGAACTCGCTCTCGAACCTTACAGACTCTTCCTCCTCCAGGTGTTGTGTTGCCTTGCTCTAATTCAGCATGAGATTCTTCGCAGAGTCCCTCTACCTCAAACTGGCGAAGTGCCCCCAGCCAGGCTGGACTGGGATCTGGGGAAAGAATAGCCATCTTGCTGCCACGCAATGTCCCTGTGCTTCCAAATATTGGGGCCATACCAGGAACAAGGACAACATTGGTGGGTGTATCAGTTTCAGTAGTTATTTGTCCAGATGCCAATTTGGTTGAATCAGGGGCTCTTGTCGTAGACTCCTCCGTAACTTCAATGCTTCCACTGTCCTTCTCTTCAAGGATGTGGCTTCTCTTGTCCTCCCCTTCGGCACCTTTAAACTTCTGTTTGACCTTTCGTTTTCGTCTAAAGCGAAGTTTTCTTTTGGTTGATAGTGGTGCAGCACCACCTGGTCCAGCATCCCTGGGTTGTTTCACACAACCAAGGGAGCTCCCCATATCTCATAGAGACAGAGTAAAAATAAATATGAGCCAAAAGGAAAAAATGTCCACAATGGGAGTGAAACAGTCAGCCTGAGTCAGCTGGTAAGGTAAGTTAAAAAGTTAATGACTCATCTGGAGTGAAAATCATGACAAAAAGTATTAACTATGACAAGAGGGATTGGTACAAGGTTAGGTTCTCCCAGGACATCATGTCTCAACTATAATCTGTACAGCAGTCATACCTCCTGTTGCTTGGTCTTCTCGTTCTGATGTTGTTCAGGCAATGTTGCAGTTAACCTAAACCAAATATCACTTAAGGTCCTAGTAAGCCTCTAGGACATGATGCTGAATATAGGTTACTGCCCTTTATAAAATATTAAAATCCTACGGCAAGGCTTTTGATGTTTTTTCACTCTCTCATGATGCAGAGATGGTGCAGCACTGACTGAAGAAAAACTGATGGCTTTTAGCCCATTTCACAAGTTATGTGTTAAATAGCAAGCCATTTGTCATGGTACTCGATGACACACTATTATAGAAGACACTATAGATATTCCTCAAGGTGAGAACCGTGATAAAACTGCACTGCAGACATACAAAGCCATACTCCTGTGAGCACACATGCACATGCTCAATATCTCTGCATCAGGATGTATAATTAGGATGCACTAATCATCAGCTTGCACACAAATAAAACTGGAGAAAACCATGTCTAAATATGTATTCATGTGTGTACAGTAAGATGCCTAGAAACACCTGCTTCTCTGAATATCTTAAGTACACATTATTGATCACTGCAGTCCGTCGTGCTTACATCACATAGGGTAGGTCATGCTTTGGGTAGCAGTTGTAGAAATCCTGTGGGACACTTACAGTAAAGCTGTGTAACGGGTACCAGATCAGCTGCTAATGGATTAAAGTGCACAGTCAGGCATCTCATCTACAAATTAGTCACAACCCATCAGAACATCTTTTGTTCCCTTCATCAGCCAAGCATAACCAGCCCATGTCAGGTGATGTTTGGTCTTCACACCTGTAGCTATGAGTGTTTCACGTCCCAGGCATGCAAACTCCATTAAAACAAGTCTCCAGTCATGAAGAGAAAGAAGGGGAGGGGCAAGGTACTAAGCGTCTCGCCACTGCTGCCACGGAAACTGGCATCCCATGCACTGACACCAGCACATTCAAGTCAATAAAGAGGATACTGACTACCATGAGTGAAGACCTCACCTCCAGCCAGCAAAATTCAACAACCACTTTCCCCCTGCTGACATGACTGGTTATAGATGTGGTTTAGCACATAGTCCACTCCCATATATCAAGTAGACACGATTTCAAACCATCCTGTCTTCCTTGTTCTGCCACTAAGCAGTGTACGTCCCTAGATTGGGGTGAGCCGATGAGAGAAAGAGTGATAGCTGACAAGGTGCCGCTCCCTGATACTGTCGGCTTCTCTGGCTGTGGAATCTAATTAGAACGCCGCCAGGATAGGGCTGGGCTGGGCAGTTGAACCGTGGCTGGAAGAGGAAAAGAGGGAAATCCAGAGAAATCCTCCCCCAACCAGGAGCTGCACTGTTGGCCTCGGAGAAGAGTGGTTGCCTCAGTGTTGAAAAAAGCGTAGCTCCATCAGTCAAGCATGGCGAAATTGATCCGATTGATACGGTGTTCTCCTTTGCACAACCTGGGTGCAAATTAAAACGTGTGACTTACATGTGTGCGTCTGCAGGGTTCAGCGATCCCGATTCTGAGATTGAAAGCATACGTGTCGCTGTATATGTGATGTGCTTCAAGAGGCCTGCCGGGGAGAGAGGAAGCCAGGGGCTCCAGTAATAGCAGGCTACATGTGTCCTCTTCTCAGTTGCTGGGTAGCTCCTCTGCTCTAACTGGTAGGCACCAGTGGAAAAAAGAGCTTCATCTACAGTCTGCTGCAGCTTCACTGAATACGCTGCTGCTGTTTTAGCTTCCTCCTCCTCCCTCTCTCCCACCTCCTCGCTCTTTCCTCCTATCCACGTGCTCATCCCTCCCTCCCTCCCTGCTCTGATGCCTGGTGAGCTCGGAGCTCAACACACATGCACATATGCACACCAATCAAAGAGCCTTCAATTGGTTGGCAGCCCGAGACTGCAAGAAAAGAATGAACCTGAAATAATTGTTGCCCCTTAACATACATGTTATTTCACAGCTGACATGATTGCCTCTCCTCTCCTACATATATATTTCACTCACATTAGTTAAATTCTAAAGAAATTTTGCAGGCTGTTGGTCAATACTGCACATCCACATGACCATTTGAACCCAATGCTTAATCTGTGCGGGGAAATCTATCCCCCTCACACGAAATTCCCGATTGCATGGATCCCTACTGAAATTACTGGATTTTGTCAGCGGAAATTCGGCAAATAGCAGTAAATGTGACCACACTTTGTAGACATGAAGGTGAAGATATCCCTTTTCTATAGACACTGCTACACAAAATACAGCACTGTGATGGTATTTAGTCATGTGATCAGAAGCAGCATACACGAGCAGGATTGCAAAGGAAGGTGATGAATTAACAGGCAATAAATCAATCAGAAAAAACTGTGATACCATTATAATCAGCCAGCTGAGCCCACTTTTTTTTTGTTTTGCTTATTTTGAATCAGCCTAATTGTCATGCATCCAGAGTCTCCTGTACTGTAACTGAGATGGGGTAAATTTCTGTTTACTGACAGAGACCGGCACACATTTATCAGCTTTATCCTGCAGATAGAGAGCATAAGATTTCAGCACACTACAATCTTTGCCAAACGACCCAGCTGGCCAGACAACCACACCTTTTATGTGACTAACATATTAGCCAATCAGATCAGTTCTTTTTGTGACAGAGACAGCTGGGCCAAATTCAGCCTAGGCTAATACACTGAAGCCTGATTGGTATTTTCCCACAGGATCCTAAACTTAGACAAAAATATGAGGATATACAAAACACAATTTCGAAAGGCTGCTGTTAGCCTAAATAACAGCGGTGGTTTCAAAACAGAGGGAAGTGTCCCAGATTGAGTGTGGGGGAGGTTGGATAGCTAGTCTCTCTTGGCTGTCTGAAGTGAATGTACAGTATGCATCAAAATGGTGCTTACGGGAGTGGTTTCAATTGCTTCTATTGACAAACAGCAACTCCTAATGGCTCCTAATGTGCCTCTGCTGAAATGATTCAATTGGATGTTTCTGTAAATGAGTCATGCTATGTTATATTGTGCTTTTGTAATTTTGGCTGCAAGACATTACAGATCATGCCATGTTACCGTACACCTTTGGAAGTGGACCAACTTGAACTTAGTTTACAATGACAAGAGTAAACTTGTTCATCACAAAAATAACATTATGCGTTTCTATAGTGGTCTACCATCCAGCCTTTTATTCCTCCCTCCAATATATTTTTGGTTGACAGAAAATAACAAAGCTAATGTTGAAATGTTTAACCAAATCAAATTCTCCATACTGTCTTAGTGTCAGTGGCATGCTCTGCTTTGTGGACTGTTGTCTCATTTCCATTGTTTCATAATTAAGCAATGTTAAGTATCGCAATTAAGTATGCAAGTTTTAAAAGTCCCATTCCTTGTTTTTTTTTTATTGCCTCTGTTCATCCCTGTGTACAATTATTAAAATGTTTTAGTTCAGTAGTTTACAAGTACTTATTTGTGTGCCAGTGGCCTGCTCTGTTCTGATCCAATTACATGCAATTAGTCTAGATAATTGATAGTTTGTTTCAAATCTCTGCTCTTTAGTCATTGTTAGAATATATTGGATGTAAAAATATCAGATTCAAGCACTGTGGAGGAAAAAAAACACATAAGTGGTTGCATTTCTAAATCTAAAATCTGTCTAAATCTATATCTAAATATATATATTTTTTTTATTTGCTATTTCATGAGGCCTATGCTTCCTCCACTCTTTTCTGCTGAATCATGCTGATTGAAGAATCGGAGGAAAAAAAACACATAAGTGGTTGCATTTCTAAATCTAAAATCTGTCTAAATCTATATCTAAATATATATTTTTTTTTTATTTGCTATTTCATGAGGCCTATGCTTCCTCCACTCTTTTCTGCTGAATCATGCTGATTGAAGAATGCTTTGGGGTCATACTAAACACAATCACCTTGGCAACCAGCTGCATGTCACCTTGTGATGTCACCGCTCTGTTGATAATAACAGTGTCCTCTGCTGGACGATCCTGGGAAGTGCAGCTAGTATGCAGTACATGATAACTATATATTTTAAATAACATTTAATAGAACATTTTTAAATGATCCGCAGAGAGTAAATTATCATAACAGTTTTATTATTTTTGGTAAGAGCTAGTCTTTATTAAATTAGCATTGTGGCCTTTTCTCATAGCTGATGGGTGACTAATGTTATGTTCATAATGAAATAGGCTACAACTTCACAACTGTATACTGCACATAGCATGCAATTTTTCGTATGCATGATATACTATGTTTGCTAAAACATGAAGACTACAATCAGAGAGAATGAAATAGGCTACAACTTCACAACTGTATACTGCACATAGCATGCAATTTTTCGTATACATGATATACTATGTTTGCTAAAACATGAAGACTACAATCAGAGAATATAGTACTGCATACAATGCATTTCACAAGAATGAATGGAAACAGTAACTAACAACAGTGATTTGAATATATCTTTCTTGAGTCATTATTTGATCAGACTGCCCCAAATTTTAAGCTTTCTACAAAAATTTGCATAAAAAATTAAGTTAACTGGTCATTTGATTATTTTAGTACATTATTAATATGGTTTGCACAATCTGCACTAGTATTCCATTATAGAGCAAGGGCGAAAATATCGTTTTATTGCTTCGGATTAACTAACGCACATCTTATTTAAATTGCCTTTATAAATGGGACATTTCAATTCTACCATCCAGCAGCGCAGTATCCATCCAACAGACCTTACTTCTCTAGTTTGACCCATAAGTATACTGTAGAAAACTGAAGGCCATTTCACAAATGTGCTCTACAGGGCCAATTTCTGAAGATTATTGTTTCTTTATCAGCATGCAGGCTGGCAGTGCCTGTCTAGAATTGTCTGCAACCTCTGTCCATTCTGCAAAACAGGCAGACTGCCGGGCCTTATATATTGAAGCTCCATACAGCATAAACCGTTCCCTAAGCATATTCAAAGTCTGAGTTTAGGATTGTACTCCATCCATCACATTCTCCTCATGAACCATTCCCTCTTGAGTTCTTTTATTCTTGCCATGGGCAAATCCCTGTTGCTCAAACTGACAGCTGTGGACATGAGAGGCTGGTAAACAGCCGCTATTAGCATTAAGCAGAGTCAGCTCTAACTCTGGCATGCTGTGTTGAACCCTACAGATTCAAGTAGGACACAGCTGTGACTAAGGTGAACTTACCTGGAAGTGAAGGATGATGGTCCAGATCAGTCCCAGTGTCAGCTTTGGGTTCCCATCTGTGATGTCGTCATTGCGTATATTCACTAATTTGACCTGCATTAAAGCAACAGAAGACTCTCATTAGTGGGAACTATCTGAATGAGTTAAAGGGGTCATATGATGCGATTTCAAGTTTTCCTTTCTCTTTGAAGTGTTACAAGCAATTTGGTGTAAACAGTCTGATTGCCCCCAAAAACACTATAGGCGCAAAACTTTGGCGATATTTTATAAATGTTGATAAAAAAGTATTGCGAAATGACGGCGGGAAAAACCACCTCATGCAAGCGTAAAAAGTTTTTGGCGATATATGGGAGTTTTTGTGAAATTGACGCGTTTCCATTTTCAATTCGCAATTTCAATTTGTGCAATTTGAAGGGTAATGGAAACGCGCCTTGTAACATTACTTGAATCTGCTAAAAATGCCTAGGGCCTAAACACATGAAAACTGGCAATGTAATGTAATTTCAGGACAGCTTTGTCATTTGTTGTCCTCTTACGCTTACAGCTGTCAGAAGCTATGTACTGTGTACTGGGAGAAGGGTGCAGGTTGGCATTTTGTCTGGTTTAGGGACCTTGGGCTGGGGTGACAACAGAGAGGGGATTGGACAGACTTCTATGGGGCAGAACACATCTATCAACTCCAGGTCATGTTATCTCAGAGCCATGCTGCCAACTGAAGCACAATGAGACTAAGGACACAGAAGTCCCAAGCTATCATCTTGTATTCACTTCCCCTAAATGTGCATGACATTAGTCCATTAGTGAGGGTAACTAGCCTCAACACTAAAGGGGACACGTCCTCCCCAGTATTCAGAATAATATTTTAGCCCCAGAATCTTATTTTAGCCTACCCAATCTTGAATATTTGGTTAAGTCCTTGCATTTATAAATAAAGAGCTGACAATCTGTAAAAAGCGACTTGTGATTGTTTCTGAGAGTGAGAATGCGTAAGTGTAGACATTCATACCTGTCTCTGCTTAAGGAAGTCTAAGGCGATCTGCACATTCTGGAGTCGGTGAAATCGCATGCGACCCTTTTCCCTGGGCTATTGAAGACAGGAAGAGAGTGAGAGAGAAACAGAGAGAATGCAGATGAGTGCACTGATAATCAGGGCAAATTGGAGGTCTGTGTGAAAACAGGACTGTTTCATTAGCACAAGCCTGAAAGCAGCAAAAGCAGCACACTGCAAAATAACACAAGACCCTCTCAGGATCATCAGTAATTAATAATCCTGTCTCAGAGTCACAGGAAATTGTTAGCATACTGTGAAAATGTCACCATTAGCAAACCATTCAAACAGCAAATCTAAATAATTATTGTATTTTTACAAATCTCACACACTCTGCCTTGCCTGCTAACATCTCTCTGCTAGTGGGTGACCAATAGCAATATCTAGCATGCAGGGCAGTAGATGGCCGATATAATACCAATATACACTACCATCCAAAAGTCTAGGGTTGGTAAGATTTGTAATGTTTTTGAAATTGAACAAAGTATTTTATGCTCAGTTAGGTTGCATTTGTTAACAAATAAACACAGTAAAAACAGTAATATTATTAAAATAACCGTTTTCTATATATTTTAAAATGCAATCTATTTCTGTGATGCAAAGCTGAATTTTCAGCAGTCATTACTCCAGCCTTCAGTGTCACATGATCCTTCAGAAATCATTGTAAGATTCTGATTTGGTGCTTCTTCTTATTATCAATGTTGAAAACTGTGCTGCTTCATATTTTTGTGGAACAGATAGTTCAAAAGAACAGAATTGATTTGAAATAGAAATTTTCTGTAAATTTATTTAGTGTTACTTTTATTCAATTTAATTTGTTGTTGCTGAATAAAATAATTGATTAAAAAATCTTACTGACCACAAACCTTTGAATTGTAAGCTGTATATTACAATTTTACAATATTACAATAAGATGTACCAAAATTTCCTCAGGTTTGAAAACAGAAAATATCTATTGACAAGGCTGAAAGGTCAAATCTATTGATAAGGCCAAATGGCTAATTTTATTTATCAGCCAGGCATGGCCAATAATCTAAATAGCCAAATATCATCCAATTGACTGGCCTGTCCAATATATCGGTCTATCACTACTCTCTACTGAGGTCACGTAGCAGACTCGCACACCCTTACATGCAAAGCATGCTCACTATCACCCACAAATGCAGCAGCATGTACAGCAAACCTGCAAACAGGTGACCAGAAAACCCCCACAATAGGGCAAACGTGTCAAAGCCATCAGATTCAATGTGAGCATGTGACGTGAGCGTTGGCAGTACTGAAGTGAAGTGTATATAAAATGTGTACACAAGGCGAGGTCTCTCACACACCTAAATGTAATAAATCAAATTATGTCTGGCATCATGAATTATGCATTGGCGTATTAGACATTGCCCTCCGCATATTTACGAAATTGACCTGTCCTTGGAGTCCACGCCATGCAGTGTACACAGCTGACTGTGTGTGACTGTGTTTGTTTCAATAGGGGGAGGGGTCACACATACTCCCTGAGCTCCATCCTCCTCATCCTCCCCACCCAGCAGGATGAGTGGGAGTGCGCGTGACACAGACGTTCTCCGCAGAGTTGACGTGCCCTTGTGCTGATGACATCATCATAGAGAGGGTCACAGGAAAAGGATGAAGACAAAAACAGTGTTGAAGTGCTGATATATGTACAAAACAACAGTTAAAAAAATGAAAACAAGATAGAGGGAGAGAGTGAAGCTAAACAAAAACAACAAATAAAAAGTGCAAAATCCAAAATATATATATATAAAAAAACAAAAAGATGAGGTGAAAGAAAGGAACGGAGATGGAGAGATAGAGCAATTGTAGAGGGCAGGTGGTGTGTCAGCAGTCTGTCTCTGTTAATCCACCCGTCAGTCAGTCTGCCCCAGTGCATCATGGTCCCCAGCCATCAGAGTGGGCAAGATTGAGTGCAGAAATAATGTACTAATGCAGATGTCATTACAACACATTGCAGTACATATCAGACTCAGCTATTTAACTGTTGCAAGGCCTGTATCTGCATTCGGCAACATCAGCCACAAGCCAGGACACTTAATGACATCAGCCTAACCCCCAGGTCAACTCATGTGACATGATCCCCAGGCACCATGTGGCTCTGAATTGCATTATGGAAAATAAAGCAAATCTCTGCCCCATGAATTGCCCAGGAGAATTGCGTAAAGCACTGGAATCAAATTTGTGTACAACCTTATGCATAACCTGTGTGTGTTAAGGTAATGGTAGTTAATTTCTCACCAATGTGACGCCAGACAGCACCTCAAGCAGGGAAATGAGGTTATGCCCATCCCTTAGATCCTCATACAGGTCTGTGATGTGCTTCCGCACCTTGAGAGAAAGAGAGAGAAATACAGTTAGAGTGAGATAGCTGAATTCCTTACAGTCTTTTGAGGCCTATGTGTAAGCGTTTGTATTATATGCAATGGTGTAACGTTTTCAATAGGGTTTGTGCTAGAATTACCATGTTTGGTAACAGGCTGACTTTATACATCAAACTGTATTTAAAGGACAATTAGCAAACAAAAGCTGTTTGGATAAAATAGTAAATTAGTTTCGTAGAGAGACAACTGCAGTACACTAACTCTAACCAGCAGAGGACGCCAAACTCATTGAGATGGGCCAGTAAAATAGCAATAGAAAAGTTCTGTACTAAAGTGCGTGTGCAAGTGTGTGTGTGTGTGTGTGTGTGTTTGTGGATTCAGAGATCCTAAACTGTACACAGAAGATCCAACACAGCTGCCTCCCCATAGTGCCACAGAAGAACCATCTGCTGAGTATAAAAGAACATCCTGACAACTGTGAGTCTCACTATCCTCTCTCTCCATTCCCTCCCTTTATTTCACTCAATTCAGAAAAAAAACAAAAAACACTATATACGATATACTGCTCAAATGTATGGGGCCAGTACTACTTTTATTTTTTAAAGAAATTAATCATTTTATTCAGCAAGAATGCATTAAATCGATCAAAAGTGACAGTAAAGACATTTAAAATGTTACAAAAAATATTTATATTTCAAATAAATGCATAAATTAAATCAATTACATTTTAAAATATATTATATTTTTTTTTCAACATATTACATTTTTCCATTACTAATTATATTAATTTGAGTGAAAAGCTAAACTAAAAAAAATAATGAGAATTTGAAGCTAGCAGTGTTTGAGTAAAAACTGAATCATGTCTTCCAGCATGATTTAAGAAGATTCAAAGAGCATCTTGTACTTCAGTGCAAACAAGAACATCTGGCAGTCTGTATCTGATCACATGATCAATGTCACTAATATTGTTATGCTCATATTTGTGTTCCCACACTCCCTGAACACAACGTAATAATTTCTTTCCACCTCTGTCTCTCTCATGTCATTTCAGTGTTTATCACAGGTGCATTACCAGGGGATGCCCTGTTGCCATTGACAGAGAATAACAAACTATACTTGGGCACTGGAGTAATACCCTAGTGGTGGAGTATTACATAATAATAAAATGTGTCACACTCAAACGCTTCCTCCCTCTGTAGTCAGCAGTCATTCCTGTAGACAGGTACATTGTGCAACCCCTCTTAGACAGGTTTAACATTTTTGCAGTGCTTATGTTAGGAGTGTGTAAAGGACAAACAAACAGACGTGACACAATCTACACACACTGCTTTCAGTCAGTGTAACATTGCCTGAGGGGAACAACATACCTGTTCACCTGCCAGAAATTAAGAGAGATGTGTAAACACAACGCTAACAGGTATCATCACCTACTGTCGTCTGCCATTAGAGTCTGTCGTCTCTAATACAATATAAAGAGGTCCCAAAAGGGTCACAGAGGTCGAGTATATATAACTCACTACTTGTAGAGTCTAACATTGTGCACTGCAAACCTATCTCATTTCCTGTGATCTGACCTATATTACAGCATACTGGCAGAGTTATGAGGCCACTATCTCTAACCTAATAACTCTGGCCCTTCTGCAGTTGGTCATCTGCCCTGTCCTTGAAATACCCAACATTCTTTGCTCTCATGATCTGTACTCAGTGGGGCAGGAGTTATAGAGGATTACCAGACTCACAAATATAGTTCTGCAGCATGACAACATGCTGAACGTCTTTTCAGAGTCATATGGACAAAACACTGGGGAGACACCTTTGTCATTGTGTTATTATTAAATGAATAACAGTGCCTGTACAATCGTTGACTTGCAGGACCTGCTGCGAGTGTCCTGATATTAAAGAGATCAGTCCCTGAGTCTTATGTGTGAGTGTGAACGTGTGAGCGTGCCGTGTGTTCAGCAGGACTGAAGCCAACAGTCCTCATCATTGTGCAGTGCAGCAGAAAAGATGAAAATAACCCGGCGTGCTGGACTGTACCTTTATGAGATGTTTGTTGACCCATTTTGTGAAAGTTTTCTTCTGCACCCTGTCTCGTTCATCTGTGAAAAAAGAGATAGAAGAGGAAACAGCAGAAAAAGAGAGAGAGGAAGAGGCGAGAAGGGGGGAGGAAGAGAGATTGGGTTAATTATGTAACACATGAGAGGACTAAGCATCATGCTGTGTATTATTTACAAGCTTCCCTCCAGTCTTGCTTTAAATAGCCTGAATTCAAACACCAGATCATAAAATGCAAAATCATGTATTTTAATGAACAATACATTAATATAAATAATACATTTTACCTGTAGTCACATGATTTAATAGAAAGCCATATTGTAAATACACTACAATTCAAATGTTTGGGTCCGTAAGATTTATTTTATTTTATTATTTTATTGTGTTTATTGAATTATACTTTTTATTTATTTTTTTAAGAAATATAAATTGATAAAAAAAAGTGATAGTATTTCAAATAAATGCTCCTTTTTTTAAATAAACTTTCTATTTAAAGAATCTTGTGAATATATGGAATATGTATTATGGTTTCCACAAAAATATTAAGCAGCACAACTGTTTTCAACATTGATATCAATAAGAATGTTTAATAGGAAGAATTGATAATAATGTTTCTTCAACATCAAATCAGCATATTAGAATGATTTCTGAATGATCATGTGACACTGAAGACTGGAGTACTTCATAGCTTTCAGTCACGTGACCAGCCGAAGACCTGGAGGGCAAAACATCCATAGAACTGCAGGACAAGCCTGTCAATTTTCCATCTGTTTCACAGCCGCAAATATTTAGATCACCTCTCAAAAGAATAAAACAAAGGTAGGTGAACAAAATGCACGTTTTGGCCATTTGCAATCCATATTAAGCACCCACGGCAATATTTCAATCATTAAACAGTGAGACAAAACATGGTAAAAACACTTAAAGTGCCTTAATATATTTAAAACAGTAATATTCTCTATATTAATGATGCATAGTTTACATAGGCAAGCAGATGAGGCCGGAATATGAACGCAATCCGCTTAATGGTTCAGTGTTTTCCTTCTAATGGTTTTCTATGGGAAACCATTTAACGTGAAACTTTGCACATTGTGTTTATATTCTGGGTTCATATGCTTGCCTGCACAAAATATACATCATCAATAAGGTGTTTACTGAATTTCACCTTTTAATATCTGCGTTTTGCTACATTACTACTTAATGCAAACTGCGTAAAAATAACTGGCGGTCAGTGGAGCAAAGCTT